CAAAAGGAAGATAGATGTTGGCACCTTGGCCCAACCCGGCGCGTCAAAATTTGGCTGGTTAGCACGGACCAGTTAGCCTGCTGGTTAGATACTGTAACTACACCATTTGTCAAGTCCATATTTCCATAAAATTTTCATTGGTCATTTAGATTTACCTATTTAATACTTAAATGGAAAATAATATAACTTTTTATATGTAAGATTATCAAAAAAAAATTGCCAGCCACCGATTTTGTGATTTTCACTAAAATTTGATGGCCTCCAGTATATTTTGCTGTATGAATATTTGAATATGCAATACACCAAATTAAAGATAAGAGCCTCTACTTTTAAACAAAAAAAAATCAGTTTTATTCTAGCATTCTTTTTTTTATCAACACTTGAATATAGGTAGGTTTCATAAAATATTCATTATTTTGAGCAAAAAGGTGAGAAAATCAAATTTTGATCAAAAACTACATCTGGATAATATTCAGTACGATTATGAAAGCATAAATCCAGTAAAACGCTTCCATCAGTACCTCCAAAGCTTGCACAGACATATACCACTTCCTGGATCAACATTTTACTCTGTAACATTATGCTTTTTTCATTTATATGCTGTCTATTGCTGATGATCACATTATTTTTCATATGCATCTGTTTACATAAGAGATCGCTAGTTTCTCCGTCCTGTTCATGTGTGTTTATGTTCGGGAGGTTTTGTACTCGTTCAGAAGATGCGTAATAGCGCCCCCGAGTGTATAACAGTGAAAACACAAAAAGCCGTAAAAACTCGTCTTTGGCGGCGAAGCGTTTTCTTGTAAAAGACGTGATAACTCGTCAATGGCGGGGAAAGAGTTAATAATAGCCTACTTTTTAGTGCAAAATCACGTAGTCCAAACAATAGATTCGTAAAGGCAGATTCGATTGCACATTTGACTGCTCCAGACACGTTGACATGTCCATCTTGCAATGGTTGCTTACAGTAAAAATCAATGAGTTTTCCAAGATGCCACAACATTGCACAGCCTCTGTGTGTAAAAGCCGCCAAGATTATGATTCCCGATGAAATGGGAAAATTTTCCACAGGTGAGAATATCTTGGTTTGTGTTTTTACATGTTTTAACCGTATTGAAACTATGGTAATTTTTTTGTTTTGTGTTGGCCAATGCCTTCATCTTGTTGTATTGTGTAAGTTTAGCAAAATCACGCACATAACTATGGTTGCAGATGCCGTCAACTTGCTCATATGAAACCAACATGCATGCAACTAGATTTTCGTAAGGTCCTGCACCAGCTGAGCCCAAAATGAACGGAAATTCTAACAGATGACTTTGAAGTATTCACTTGCTAAGAGAGAAGTCTCTACATTGCCCTTCATTCTTTTCCCATTATCACTAGAGGCTCACCTGTGATGAGATCTGCAACTGGAAGCCTGGAGCTCATTGGGATACATCATCAATAAATCATTAGTCTTTTTGTAGGGGAAAACTCGCAGCATTCTAATGAGAGGTTACTTACACAATCCTCTCTCCTACTACAAACAAACCAACAGCTCTTATAGCTATTTGTACTTGGCCTCCACAAGCATCTGTGCACTAATGCATCATTTAGCTGTGCTTTTCGTCTTTATTGATTCCACACAGAATGCAAAGGAGAGGAACATAAGGAACTAACTTGGTATACTAACTAACTTGTCTGATGTCCTAAACACCCTCCTAGAAGAGTCCCATTGGCCTTCGTTATCTTTGGCCAATGTGAAATGATCTGTGGCTTCAGGGATTCGAAATCTTCTTGGATGCAATTGTAACTGGCTTTTAGTGTGGTCAAGTGTTGTGCGATTTGCTCACCAAAACGCAGGTGTAAATGAGTCTTAGGTTACAAGTTTCCAGTAGCGGTTATTCGACAACAACTGCTAGCATTTTTCTGTTCTCTGGGTAGCTTTGATAAGTGTGAAATGATGAAATTCTGACATCGGAGTTTGTATCAGACACATTTCATTTTGCCATATGCGAGTGGAGCTCCTGAGCCTTTGCTCCTCACTAGAATGATGTAACATTTGCTCTGTGTAGACGCTGTTGGCCTTGTTAGCATGTATCCTAAAGTCATCCTGTCTTAGCTTGGATATTCGAGCAAAAAATCTTGGCTCCTGATGACTGGTAAAACAGAGCGAGTTAATAATCCAGAACAAATCTGGACAGAAACAAAATACAAGACAAATGCTCCTTTACATCTTTGTTTGCACCTCAGGTCAGGTCATCTTTGCTGTATTAAATGCTCTTTCAAACTTGCTTTGAGGAGAGAGCCAAGCTCAGGGCAGTGACCTGGTCTTGTCTATGAAACGCTCCCTGAGTAGGATGCAACCGAGAACAAAGGGCATGTACTTGCCTATTCAACGATAAATGAGGCATTCATTGGCTTTGAAGTAGAGGAGAGGCAACTAGAACAAGAAAATCAAGACCTCTGTTTTTCCTTTTTTGATATTCCTGGCCTTTCTTTGCCTCAGGGCTTCAGTGTTAGTTCAGTATCCAGGATACTATTCAGCATCTACGCCTATAGTTAAAGGAAACAGAAGCTGGCTGTAGTGCCGGAGCACAGCTGCGTTAATACAATAAAAACCCGTATTCAGCTTTGAAGGAAGAAAAAAAACAAGTAGTAAGGCCTCCTGGTGTAATAATGAGTACTCTTGAGTGGCACAACAGATTTGCTTAAGACTGGACAGAGCTGCTTAAGCCTCCAAATCTATTGTATGATGGGTTGAAAAAGTGTCAATGCATAATGATTAGTCTATTTGATGCTTCTAGATTCAAAGATCCATATTGGTCTTCATGAGTTTCTTCAGAAGTCCATAAGCAAATCTGCAAGTGATGCCATCAGCTCCTTCGGTCAAACAGCTGTTTGGCTGCATCACAGATATGTTTGAGAAGCTTCTGTCAATGACACGTTTAAAGACCAAAGAGACTTTCAGATGTGACTCACATCACCCACAATGGCTCTGGGATCAGATCCAAATACATTGAACTATCATTTCTGTTGACTGCGATCCAACTCTCCACTGTTTTTCTGGTAGAAAAGCATGGAACAATCATTCTATGGGTTTGGATCGACATGAGGTGAATCAATTAATGCATAATGAGAGAACTAATGAGTACATGACGAGAGAATTTTTTATTTTTGGGTGAAGCATGGATAGAATATATAGGACTTTGGCTTGGATTTTGGTTTAGGATATAAGGAGGTTCCATTGAGTCTCAAGGTGTGCTGGGCCTAAATGTAGGCAATATTTTGCAGGGGAAAAATACTCTATTTTCTGTTGTCGATAGCGTATTAAGTACTGCTCACAAAGAAGTCACCTTCAAACCAAGCAGGTCAGCATGCGGAATTCACAAGACCAACTTGAACATCAGCCAAATTTGCAGAGAGAACTCACACAAAACTCCCTACGAAATAAATGGAATTTGCCTTTGAAACTTCGCAGAGCAACATTAAATGTGACTGCACATTAAAAACTGTAAATGGCCTTAAGTACGCTTCGATTTTCTTATGCATACACCAGGTTATGTGTACGGTGCACGTAACAAGTGTCATAAGCATAGTTCCACATTAATTTTACATGCACAGCCAGATGGAAATATAGCATATGGAAAATACATATACTTTGGGCTTTAAGGAATAGTTCACCCAAAAATGGATTTTGTCATCATTTACTCACCCTCATGTTATACAAACCTGTATAAGTTTCTTTCTTATGTTGAACACAGAAGATATTTTGAAGAACCAAACAGTTGTTGGTCCCCATTGACTTCCATAGTAGGGAAAGAATTACAGTTGATGGGGGCCCATCAACTGTTTGATTATCAGCATTCTTCAAAATATCTTCTGTTCAACATAAGAAACTACAGGTTTGGAACAACATGAGGGTGAGTAAATGATGACAATTTTAATTTTTGGGTGAACTATCCCTTTAAGGCCCAGATACTTTATTTACCGTGTTCTGCTCAGTCTTGCTCACAAAGTACTCCATTGACAGCGATTGTGGATGAACGCTTTCATAATGTGCACTACCTAGTGGACTCACTCGTACATGTTCTGTCATCCAAACAGACGGAAAAAATTGGCTTGGATGTCACATCAGTGAAATATGCCGATTTCAGACTCAGTGGAATGTATAGTTTGGCCTTTAGTTTATAGCGCAAGATAGGAAAATGTTTTGCAGCGTTACATTCTCACCCGAGATCCATTTCAAACAGATTCCTCATACAAATAGCTGTTTTCAAACAGACAAGAACACGAAGGCTTTATGCTTCTTTTATTGATCAAGAATAAATGAAGTCACCTTCAAAAGTAGTCAAACCAACAACATAAAACCACCCACTCCAAACAAATCTGCAGTAGGCAAAGACATTCTAAGAATCCCTTTTACAGACAAACGTGAAACATGAATACATTTGTGACATAAGTGCAGTGACTACAAAACGGTACAAGCAACGGAGACAAACTATTATTAGTATGATGATCACAAAGAGGAAAAATACAATATTTACACATAAATATAGACAAGGAAAGATTTGCATATAGAAGCGATTCTGGAGAATAAATATGGCAGGATGACCGCAACAACTCTCTTTTGACTTGTAGAAACCAATACCCTAAATCAACAATAAAAACCACTTCTAAAAGTATGCAAAAACGAAAGGCCGCTTGTTTAAACCAGACCTTACTATGGCAGCTCTTTGCATTCACATTTAAATGCAACAGCTAGATGTGCATAGCTTTATAAAAGCTGAAAACTAGATTAGTTTAGATTAAGGCTTATCTTGTAAAACATAAAGAAATACTTTCAGTGGTTAATAATTGTGTGAAAACGTCTCTTTAATGTTAATTAAATGCGCCCGGACATTGACATCAACACAAGCCGTCCTTACCCAGGTGGCGGGCTCGGGCTGGAGCCGTCGCCCGGACGTGGTACCATAGTGTGGAAATTAATTGCAACACTGGATGCAAAGTTCAGAACAGGTGAGTTGTGGATCGGCTGAAGGTATGATGCTTCCTCTCAAAGGCGGAGGACAGGTTGAGCATGGATGGGGAATGAACAGCCTGGAAAAAGAAAATCTAAAATAAAAATGCAATATAGCAATGAAAAGATAGTTTTAGGGTTATTCTAGGTTATTTCCATTCCCATCTGTAATTAGTTTAAGACTCAAGAGTGCTGAATTGTAAATGGTGAATGTGTTAACCTTTGGTGCATTTTCATACCCAGAAGACCTTGTTAAAGATTCAATGCATTGTTAAAGTGTTGGTTAAAGCTGTAATGCATTTAGGGCTCTTTTTACAAACTATTCATACTGAAGTCTAGGAGTGGGCGGTATGAGCTTAAAAAAAAAAAAATCATGGTGCGAGTGATTTTATAACACATCATCATTATACCATGATATATAAAAAAACAAACAAAAAAAGTTTTTACATTAAAAACCCAAATGCTAATGCCTATATTGGACATAACAGCAAATTAATTAATTTACAAATGTAAGATATTTAAATTACATTTTCATTTTTTAAAGCTTGGATGCAATCTAAAAGCTTATTCATAAAAATTTAATCTGGCATTACTATGAAAACTATTTCACATTATGTAACATGAATTAAAAAACAACCAGTAAAACTGACATTATAAAAACGGATCAATCTAACCCTAAATTCTAATTAGTTGAGCTCAACAAGTTTTTGTAAAAGCAACCAAGAATTGAACAAGATGAACTGAATTTATATTGAATTTGCACATGAACGGAATTCTATAATAATGTGTCATGACGACATTTCTATAACCACATGGAATCAGTGTTTCTTTATTTTTTTAATAGTCTTTTAGAGAAAAACATTTTAAAGTGAATAAATTACAAAATATTCAATACAACTAAAGTTAGTGTCATTTATATTGGCATGCAATATGTTGGCAATAAACAGTTCGCACAAAAACGTGGGGCAAATCTTTGAAAAAAAAAGTATAATATTAACCTATGAAATATACATGCATATATAACCGGTCAACATTTTGGAATAATTAAGATAAAAAATAAAAAGTTTATTTAAATTTTTTTAAAAGATAATTTCCATAAAAATTCTGCATTGTAAGTGCATTAATATCGGTTACTTTTTACATTTCCATCAACAGTTTACTCTCATTATTTAACAGTCATGAAGATGCGCCATTTACATCTAGTCTTCATTATCAAAATCTTTTTCCAACCAACAATTTATCTGTAAATTAAAGAGAATATATTTAGTGTCACACCGCCCTTCCCTGCTGAAATCTACATAACTACAGCTCATCTTCATGGGTTTAGGGTAGGAACTAATCATTAAACAGCGTTGAGATTTTCTGTCTTTTGACCAAAAGCCAGTGTTGAGCCTTTTTTAAAATGTAAGTGTTCTCGCAGAACCCAGAGGTTCACAGGTTTTTGTGGGAGTTTATTCAAAAGGGGTGAGAAGAGGCGAGGAGAGAAATCCATGTTAATGACATTGACTTTACAAGCTCGCTGTGGTAAGAATGCACACGGTTGACCCTTGTTAAGTGTTCACCATTCAGAACCGACAGCGTTATCCAAAGGAGTGTTAACCTCCATGCAGAGGATAATACTGTATTCTTCCATTTAAACAGAGATGTGAGGGTGAAAAGGTTGTGGTTAGCAAACCACAAACCCAATTTCTTTTGTTTTACTCTTACTCACATTTGTAACAAGCACCAGGCTGCTTTCACACACACACACACACACCAATAATCCTATTACTTAGCATTGCTTAATAAGAGTTAAGGTGGCCTTGCACTGCCACTGCCTTGAGATCAATAAAGGCGGCCAATGATGCCATTTGATGAATTGCCTCGAGTATGCTAAACGAAACATTAAAACGCTACGAAACGCACACACTCCAGTATACGGATGATGGTTAACGGGATCAAATTAGAAATAGGAGATTAAATCACGGTCATCAGCCAATTTACGGCTGTCACGCCCATAGATCATGCCAGTACTACAGTACAAATATGAGATTTATGGAAAAAAGAAAAATCACATCGTACGCCACAGCAATAATTTCGTTTTTATATAAGAGCCGTCATTATACTGAGAACTATAGAACTATAAAAGCATCTGAGATCTCATATTTCACCCGACATAAATGATCTGATGTCAGGGTTAAAGGGATGCTTTACCAAAAATAAGGATAAGTCGTCATATTACGTCACACTTTTTTGTTGGAGCAAATTGAAAAATATAGTTTTTATTCAAATGGAAATCTTGTTTTTAATCAGAATAAGTTGGATGACAATTTCTTTGTTTTTTCCTGAGTGAACGGACATTAAAAAAAAATTTTAACACCCCTGTCAAGCATGAATTATGTTTTTTTTCTTCCATGGAACACAAAAAGCCAAATTTTGAACTCTTTTCCATATAATGAAAGTGAATGGGGAATGAAATGAAGTATTAATTACATAATACATAAAAAATACATAATTTGAAATGGACCGTTTCAGTATTATAAACCGTTTCATATGACTTATGCTACACAGTTAAAATTAGAGTAATATAAAGTAATATAATAGTTCTGAGCATGAAACAGACCAAAATTTAAGTCATTTTCAGTTTTCCTCTGCTGTCCGAATCCCAGAGTTGCTGTTAACTAAAACTATTACAGATTGATTTAATTCATTTAAACAAAGCTGAAATGAAATCATTTAATTCTCTGATGAAAAGTTAAACTTATTTTCAGTTAGTTGCCAAAGCAACAATTTTTTGGTTAACACTTTAGTATAGGGACCAATTCTCACTTTTAACTAGTTGCTTATTGGTATGCCTATTAATAATGTATAGGTTGTTTATTAGTACTTATAAAAGCACATATTCTTCATGACCATATTCTACATCCTTAATCCTACCCAATACCTAAACTTAACAACTACCTTACTAATTATTAATATGCAGCAAATTAAGAGTTTATTGCGGAAAAGGTTGTAGTTAATGGTTTGTTAATATTGAGAATTAAACCTTAAAATAAAGTGTGACCATTTTTTGTTTAAATACTTAAAATACTAAAATAAAAAAATAGCTAAATAGAAATAATTAAAAAGAAAACCACATAATAAAGTTATTAAAACTTAAACTAAAATTAAAAGCTAATTCATAACATTAATAAATACTAATATAAGTTTAAATTACTTTAAATAAATACTAATACTACATTTTACACAAATAATTCTAAAATAAAGCAAGTCGAATTTGAAGACATGGCATTGGTATGATGTGGCCACATGACGCACATTCATCAGTCACAGCGTGGCAAGTGTGAATATGCTAAATTTAAATGAGATTATAGCTTCTGCGTTTAAATTGGGTGAGAATAGGTTGTCAAAATTTCAGTTGCGTTACTATTATGGAGCTTTATTTGTCATTTGATGGATCCCCATTCACATTCATGATGGGAAATATAGTGTAGTACTAGGGCTGTGCAAATAATCGAATGTGACTTTCATGCGCATCTCGTCAGTAAAGCCGGTTCTGTGATTAGTAGTAAATCTCCAGCACATGCTTTCAGATGGAGCGGCATTTACTACACAAGCTACGCGAAATCGCGTTCATAATCGTCAATGAATCACTTGCGATTTTGAACGCGATTTCGCGTAGCTTGTGTAGTAAATGCCGCTCCATCTGAAAGCACGTGCTGGAGATTTACTACTAATCACAGAAACGGCTTTACGGATGAGATGCGCATGAAAATCGCATTCGATTATTTGCACAGCCCTATGTAGTACTAGTAAATTTTTCAACTTCCTTAAAGTCGTTCTTAAAGAGGCCAGCATGAGGGTGAGTAAATTACAATATTTTCATTAAGTGAATTCTCCCTTTTGAACCAGTCCTCAGATTATCTATAAATGAGTGCCACCATAGCCCATCCGTGCGGTAGTGAATTAGTGTCAACACCGTCCCCAGAAGTGAGTTAGGAAGTCACAGTGGGTCAAGAGGCAGAACTGCTGTGCTCACATTTAAGAGTCCTACAGGAGGGTCTCCTGCCGCTGGGACCCAGGGAACCTGCGCTTCGGCTCTGGGGGTGCCAGCAGCTCCCGGCACAGAGCTACGGGCTGGGCCGCTGGGAGGGACAGGATGGATGGTCTGAGCTGGGTTTTGGGAGCCGCAGGTTCATCAGCCCTCTCTGGACTGCACGGAGTGCGGAAACACACCGGGACCCTGGGCCGCGGAGCATGGTCCAGAGAGTTTGACCGCTGAACCACTGCACTTTTAATAGAGCCCGTCAGACTGAACGTAGAGGCAGAACGAGACATCTACACTCACATGGAGGGAAGAGAAAAAGAGAGTGCGTTAACCTCATCTTGCACCGCCTCTACATCACACACCCTCCGAATCATTCACTTTAAAATTGAAAGCAGGAAGTGAAAAATTGAGCGTGATCTCGTTACGAACGTAGGGATTTCTCAAATATTTAGAAGTGCATGAATCACCTTAACGAAAAAGGTCAAAATATCGCTTTTCAAACGGAGTAAAGAGCACAAGACCCCTGATGCTGAAGGAAAGAAAAGCATGAGTGACTGACCTAGGCAAACTGCGAGTCCTCTGAGAGGGAAATGCAAGCCAACTGAATTGGCAAGTAATGCTGCAAAGATTCAACTGTAGAAAATGAGATTAAAATGTGCTATTTGACTATGAGAGATTCGAATTCATGCAAATACCTGTTTAGACCAAGTGTGATGTGAGTGAATGACACAAGTACACAACAGATTTCATTTTATACATAATAAATTAAATTAAAATCAAACAGCTATATATTAGATCAGAATAGCAATTTGTTGTCCAATCACAGCCGTGCTGCTATTCAGAACAGCACTCTTGCTCATGTAATATTTCTATAAAAAGTTATTGAAAATGCCCACTCCACGCCAGCAGAAATACACAAATAAAAAAAGAAACCAAAAAATAAAATAAACAATTCTCACCCTAATGTCACTTGTGTAGCTGTCAAACTCAAGACTTTTTCCGTTTATTCTAAGAGTGAACTGCCCTTGAAGGAGCACATAGACACACATTTTCAGCACACAACAGTACGTGATGTGAGTGTAGACTCACAGCCAGTGTAGAGCTGCTGAACATTCGGCCCATGTGATCGGCATCTGGGCCAGGACTCTTGTCATCCGGGGTACCATTGGCTAAAAAGGCCCTCTGGAGAACACGCTTGGGGGTTTTAGTGAAAGAAAATGCTCTCGTGACCTAAAACACAAACGTGCACAATTTGCCTGCGTTTTCTACTTTATGATGTCATTTCCAAGAAAGTGTCCTGAACGTTGACATCAAGACCAAATCTGTATGCGCATGGTGTCATTTTCAATACTTTCAAGTTCCTCTCCCTACCTTCTTTGACGTTTTTTTGATGGCCCTGGACGCTCGGCTGAGCGTGCTGTCCATGTCCTTTGTGCTCACTTGGACGGAGTCAGGATCGGTGCTCTGAATGAGATCTTCCTGTTTATGACACGGGGAAATTAAATAAATACACAGCGATACTGCTGGCCTGTCAAAATGCAAAGAGAAGCATCACTGTTCAGCCTTCCAAACAGCTGGGGCTTCTTGATATTCACAGGAGCAGAGGGAGAGTGTGGCTGGCATTTCACGCCAGTGACGTGTGGGTAGGTGGCCACCTCATGGCCGGTGGGAGAACTGCAGGCCAGGCCGAAATGCATTTAGCCGCAGGGTTTGGCCTGGATGTTTAATTATAAAGGGAAATACATGCATCTGTCTGCCCGCGCCAATTACATGTGCCGTTTTGGAAGGCCTGGGCGGGACCTGCAGTTCTGCAGCATGAAGATAAAGACGTCTGCGTCTGAAGTGTAAAGTTCAAGTACAATTCCACTCTTAATTACATTAATCTGCCTCCCAGTTTAACCACACAGGAGCATCTAATAGGATTAGCCAACACCAAAAGGCCCACACAAACCTCCTAATTTATAGCCACAATAAAAAGAAAGCAGAGCTAATAAAATAAATAATTGAGTTCTGTTCCAGACCTGAGGGGGATGATCTGAGGAGGAAGTGGCCTTGCGCGCGCGCGTGTGTGTGTGTGTGTGTGTCTGCTCACCGCATCAGCTCGGCAAATCGTGTTGGCCACTTGACGACAGAGAGTTTTGAGCCAGGCAGATTTGAGCGTGTCTTCGGCCGTCAGCTGGAAACTGAATAACAGGTTCTCCTGTTCTGTAGGAGGATGTACCACCAGGGCAAAGGCATTCTGACACTCTGAGAGAGAGCGAGAGAGAGATAAACGTGTGAGGTGTGAGGTCAGGGATGTGACCTGAAACTAAGGCCTAAAACTAAATCCAAAGGTAAAAATTTTTTTCAAAAAATAATAAAAAAAATTAGTGGAAATTTAAATGTGAGATTCGGGAAACGAGATCTAAATTTAGCAGGAACGGTCGGGTCGGGAAGAAAATTATTCTAAGCTGACAGTGGGTGAAGAAAGAGTTAATATATAACGGGAGCAGGTGGGTGCGGAATATAACCTTGAGGGAGCGGGACTAAAAAAAAATAGTCCCCCGCAGATCTCTATTTTGATCATCTTCTGTTATTTTTTATTTTACATTGTGTGCAAAAAAGGCAATAAAATGAAATGTCTTTGTAAAGAATATAATGCAAAAAAAAATTTAAATGCCTATACATGGTTAAAAAACCTTTTCTTTTTTTTTAAAGTAAAAAATGTAATGTATACCATCCATCAAACCTATATAAATGAAGATTGTATTAATATTTATTTATACAAATGTTGATCGTTACAACATTCACAGGAACACACTTGAATGTGTCGTCTTTCCAAGTGAAACAATATTCAGTAGGAAACAATGTAGGGCAGGAGTTCATTTTATCCATTGCAATTTGATGGGATCATCACAAGTGCACTACAGGGAAATTAGTTGATTTGAAACATGAAATAGGTTCCAGTACAAGGAGCTGCTCTTGTGGAAGCACAGATCTGAATCAGTCAAATTTCCAGGCTTCAGAATGTGATCATCAATAATGTGCTATTATGGTGTGAAAAATGATTGCCTTCAAAATCCAGTAAAGCAGGGGTGAGTGCTATATTAAATATGCACAATATATTCTAAACGATTCTGCTGGCAATATAAAATAATTCTGTGAATATTGCTAGCTAAGATATTATGGGCTTTTATGTGGCCATTGAATTTCCTAAAGACCATGGAATCAGACTAGTTTAGTCATTCTTTCATTTCCTTGTATGGCATGAAAGTGTTAAGCCAGACGGTTTAATAGCATTAAATTGCTTAAGACAATAACAAAAACCCTGTTGGACCTGTGCGTTTCATTCATTTCTGTGAATTGGTTTCAAAGAGCCAAATCAAAAGTCTTGTTCAATCATATGTTTCCATCCTCATTCAAAAAGGTTCCTGGAAATGCTCATTTCCGTATGCTTTAATAAAACTATGTAAAGGTAAATATTGCAGTTTATAATTATAGATTGCTATATGTGTAACATTTTCTGTGATTTTTAAGACTTTTTACATTAAAAAGCTGTACAATTTCATTAACAGATCTAATGTTAAAATAACAACCTACTGAAATAATCAGTTTTGTGCCTTTATAACTGCTGACAACCACCAAAACACAGATGGAAATGCGAAAGCCACATGATGAATCAGAGCTCATTACAAGTAGCTTTTCCACACGCTGAGGTTAATATTATTACCCGTGCACAGGGTACACACGGTATCATGCATATCAATTCAAAACACCATCATTATAACAACACACTAAAATCATGTAATAAATATTCATTTTAACAACAGATGTAACAAATGCACAAAACTGACTAAAAAAATTAATTGATTATTTCAACGAAAAACCATCATATGCTTTTTCAAAGGAATTCTGGTAATGTCAATTTACGTCCAGTTCAGTTTATATAAATGTATGTCTGAGGAGAACTTACTGTCTTTAGAAAAGTTTAGATGGTATTTTGTCTTTTCCTCTTGCCTCTGTATAATGCATATTAAAGTTCATAAGTGCAGCGCTGCTTTGTTTACAGCGGAAACCAAGGAAATGCTTTAAGCGCCACCTACTGGCAGAGAGTGAATCTGCGTCTCATTCAGCTCAGCTTTTATGCAGATATTTTTTTATGTATAGTTTCACAAAACCGAAGTCAAATCGTTCAGTTTTTGCTTCAAATTTCGAAATTATACAACCTAATTTAGATCTCCTGTTCTGTAGGAGGATGTACCACCAGGGCAAAGGCATTCTGACACTCTGAGAGAGAGCGAGAGAGAGATAAACGTGTGAGGTGTGAGGTCAGGGATGTGACCTGAAACTAAGGCCTAAAACTAAATCCAAAGGTAAAAATTTTTTTAAAAAAATAATAAAAAAAATTAGTGGAAATTTAAATGTGAGATTCGGGAAACGAGATCTAAATTTAGCAGGAACGGTCGGGTCGGGAAGAAAATTATTCTAAGCTGACAGTGGGTGAAGAAAGAGTTAATATATAACGGGAGCAGGTGGGTGCGGAATATAACCTTGAGGGAGCGGGACTAAAAAAAAATAGTCCCCCGCAGATCTCTATTTTGATCATCTTCTGTTATTTTTTATTTTACATTGTGTGCAAAAAAGGCAATAAAATGAAATGTCTTTGTAAAGAATATAATGCAAAAAAAAATTTAAATGCCTATACATGGTTAAAAAACCTTTTCTTTTTTTTTAAAGTAAAAAATGTAATGTATACCATCCATCAAACCTATATAAATGAAGATTGTATTAATATTTATTTATACAAATGTTGATCGTTACAACATTCACAGGAACACACTTGAATGTGTCGTCTTTCCAAGTGAAACAATATTCAGTAGGAAACAATGTAGGGCAGGAGTTCATTTTATCCATTGCAATTTGATGGGATCATCACAAGTGCACTACAGGGAAATTAGTTGATTTGAAACATGAAATAGGTTCCAGTACAAGGAGCTGCTCTTGTGGAAGCACAGATCTGAATCAGTCAAATTTCCAGGCTTCAGAATGTGATCATCAATAATGTGCTATTATGGTGTGAAAAATGATTGCCTTCAAAATCCAGTAAAGCAGGGGTGAGTGCTATATTAAATATGCACAATATATTCTAAACGATTCTGCTGGCAATATAAAATAATTCTGTGAATATTGCTAGCTAAGATATTATGGGCTTTTATGTGGCCATTGAATTTCCTAAAGACCATGGAATCAGACTAGTTTAGTCATTCTTTCATTTCCTTGTATGGCATGAAAGTGTTAAGCCAGACGGTTTAATAGCATTAAATTGCTTAAGACAATAACAAAAACCCTGTTGGACCTGTGCGTTTCATTCATTTCTGTGAATTGGTTTCAAAGAGCCAAATCAAAAGTCTTGTTCAATCATATGTTTCCATCCTCATTCAAAAAGGTTCCTGGAAATGCTCATTTCCGTATGCTTTAATAAAACTATGTAAAGGTAAATATTGCAGTTTATAATTATAGATTGCTATATGTGTAACATTTTCTGTGATTTTTAAGACTTTTTACATTAAAAAGCTGTACAATTTCATTAACAGATCTAATGTTAAAATAACAACCTACTGAAATAATCAGTTTTGTGCCTTTATAACTGCTGACAACCACCAAAACACAGATGGAAATGCGAAAGCCACATGATGAATCAGAGCTCATTACAAGTAGCTTTTCCACACGCTGAGGTTAATATTATTACCCGTGCACAGGGTACACACGGTATCATGCATATCAATTCAAAACACCATCATTATAACAACACACTAAAATCATGTAATAAATATTCATTTTAACAACAGATGTAACAAATGCACAAAACTGACTAAAAAAATTAATTGATTATTTCAACGAAAAACCATCATATGCTTTTTCAAAGGAATTCTGGTAATGTCAATTTACGTCCAGTTCAGTTTATATAAATGTATGTCTGAGGAGAACTTACTGTCTTTAGAAAAGTTTAGATGGTATTTTGTCTTTTCCTCTTGCCTCTGTATAATGCATATTAAAGTTCATAAGTGCAGCGCTGCTTTGTTTACAGCGGAAACCAAGGAAATGCTTTAAGCGCCACCTGCTGGCAGAGAGTGAATCTGCGTCTCATTCAGCTCAGCTTTTATGCAGATATTTTTTATGTATAGTTTCACAAAACCGAAGTCAAATCGTTCAGTTTTTGCTTCAAATTTCGAAATTATACAACCTAATTTACATAAAAAAACTGCTCATGTTGCATGTATGCAGCATCTTTGTTTGGATCATGATTAAAACGCAGTGATTGCCTCTAATTTTAAATGGAAAGAGCACAGACAAAGCCTTAGTTTGTTTATATGAAGAGATTTATTTGATTTGTTTTACTTATTTATTTGATTTGTGGCTTGTTTCAAAATTTACATTAGCCTATATTTAAATTTTGTTATTTAGGACAATAAAAGCAATCAAAACCAACAAAAGAGCAATAATATGCAAGTGCTATATTAGTATATTATTATAGTGTTATATTTAAATTTCACAAAGAAACGTGCAGCATTTTGTCCAAGCAATATTAAAAGGACACATTTAATTTATAATTTGTCTTAAATCTCATTTTGTCAAAAAAAATCGTGAATCAAATCGAATCGAGAAATCAAAATCGTGAATCGAACATCTCTAATAGCATTGTAGTATTGTTGCCGCTGCCGCCATGCCGTGGAGACGCTGTGTGTTTCCAAATATGGTGAGGGGCGTAACATTTCCATCACACGCTTGAGGTATTTGGCCAATGACAACACACTGGATAGCTGACCAATCAGAGCACACCGCGCTTTTCAGAACGATGAGCTTTGTAAAAATCGCCGCGTTTCAGAAAGGCGGGGCAGAGATGAACAACAATAATGTACGGTGTGTGGAAAATAATGTGTTTTTTGAACCTTAAACCATGTAAGCACATTGCATTTCACAAAATAATGTTATTTTTAGCATCGTCATATGACCCCTTTAACCAAATAATTAACAGGCTTTTACCGTAGCATTTTTACAGTCTTTTTACCTTTAAAATTATGTTAGAATTTTCTTACTGTGTATCCTGGCCAGCTCTACAGTGAAGTGACACACTTTATACATAAACAGACTTCACCTCCCTCTCCAGGGTGCTAATTTAGAACACAAAACTAAAATATGCAAAAGTGCACTTGGTGGGATGCAGTATGCCATGTGGTCCCCTCACCTTCTGTGTCTTGGATGTCAAGGACTCTTCTGATCTGGGACAGAGGCATCAAGGCTATGTGTTTGAGCTGGGCAGGCGGCCGTGTCTGACCCAGCGGACTCCGGAACGTGGTTATCACCTTGTGTCTCTTCCTGGCGATCTGAATATGAAGACGCAGAATGAAAAAGCACACACGCACGCACATTAAACTCTTAATACATGCAGCTTTCTTCATAATGCAGGAACGTAAAATGTTCTCTCCTGTGCTCTGGTGGAGCAGTGGGGAGACCTTCAGGTGCTTTTTATATGTAATGCATATTGGGGCGACAGATATGCATGCAGAGGACTTTCTAAAATGAATAATTGATCACTCAGAGTCTTCCCTTCTCCCTGCTCTCATTACCAGGCCAGAGCCAGCATTGGGCGAAGAGGACCACAGCCGCATGCCGGCACACGCTAGCAACCCCCTCCAAAGTGCTTAAACGCATCCCCTCTCTAATTGGGGAAACAGGCCAGAGAGTCGAGTCAGCAAGCACAGATTGTACACGCATAAATTATTCACTTTTTTCCTTCAACGGTACCGCTCACCCATGAACTGAACAAACAATTGTTGAGGTTGCTGAAAATTTGGAGAAGAAAAAGGACGACAAAAGGAAATTTAGGAAGGAGACAATTTCTATGACATGAAAAGTTTTTTCAAACTAAAACTTTGAAATCTAGTTTAAATGCATTTGCTAGTTTCTCAGAAAGGTCATATTTAAAAACGTTCATAGATTTATTAAACGTTTTGATTTAATGAAAAATGTAAAATGGTGTAACCATCAAAAGTAATAACATTTTCCTGACATGTTGAATACATGCAAGTATATCAATCTTTTTTTTTTTTTAAACATTCTAAAAGTGAAAAGTATTTTACAAATGTTTTATTGGGGTTATACTAGTTGTTTCTGAAAATGAACTAAGCTTGAACTAAGTATCATAAGGTCAATTTATTTGATTTTTACATTTGAAGAGATTTTTGGTCGTTTTTTTTTATATATAAAATGGCAGATACTTTAAGATAAATATTAAATATTTATATTAAAATATTCAAAATATTAAAAAGGTGCAGGACTACAACAAAAAACAATTACACCTAGGGAATTTTAAATAGCCAAAAAGCATTTTAATTAAGGAAAACATGATTATCACTGAAGAGGTGTATTCAAATGGCTGCCAGTTAATTTCATTTTAATGTTTGTTTCATGATTTTTTTTTTTTATAAAATGTAAACAGAAAATGACTGGAAAGATCCAGATACATAAACACAAAAACAATATTAATAAATGATAAATGTCACTTAATAGCTCTACAAACCAGCTGTGCATAGCTCTAAAGTGCAGTCAATCTGATACTTGACATTCACTTAAATGAAATCAATTTAATCGTTTATTCAAATGCAATGTGGGTGTAATAATAACAATATAGAGAAACTCTAGCTAGCAGCTTGACATCATAAGGCTTTCATTAATCTAACACCATAAACAAGACCAGAAATCAAGATTAATGTCTTTCATATAGTGGCACTGCTTTGGGGAACCTGATGGAGCTTTTGCATTATGAAGAAATGGGGGCTCTGTACTGAGCAGTAATGGTGCCGTGACAAAGAAAGACTGAGCTTTACCTCCAAACAGTCGTTGAACAGAAAGAGTGTGACATGTTCTCCCCGATCGCAGGGTTTGTCTCCCAGAGCAATGGTTTCCACCCTGTGAACCAGACTCCGATGTGATGACAAAAGATTGGCCTGCAGGCGCACACAAACATACAAAAGAAAATCAGTTTCCACCTTACAAAACATTTGCAAGCTTTTCAGCAAATTACTTCATTATAAGTGACTGGTGTGCAGAAGTCTGTTCTACCAAACACAGCGCCTGATAAACATGCTGCATTTTCTGTCCCTGAGCCTGCAGATTCCTCAGAGAGCTGTTCCTGGATCAGACTCTGTTGTGTCCATTCTGCTTCAGCTCCCATGAGCTACAAAAGCCAAACTGATCCAGGAAAAGCACTCCCATCTGCGGGCGATCATTGGTTTGGCAGCCCAGTCTCTAGACACAGCTGTTCTGGGGCGAGTCTGACAGGAGACAACATGAATTGACTCACTCTGATCCATTTAGTATTGAGAGAAAGATTCAGACAGCACGTCTGCATCTCTCACCGCAGAGAAAAGAGGAACTGCAGCCAACAATACAGTGTCACACTTTACCATTTACTGTTAAAATAGCATTTAGTCCACTTATAATGTTAGTCAAGGTTTCTAGCAGCAAAAACCGTCAAGTTAGTTTTACATGACCATTTAAAAACAGGCTGTTTCTGCTACTGTAACTTTAAAATTAGAAATATACCTTTAAATAGACTATGATCTCTCTCCTATGATTGGCTATCTCTGGGTTCAACATTGTTGAATAAAAAATAGGTATCAGGGTGAAAATGGACAGTGATGTGTTATGGTTCTGACTATGATGATTTCTGAAAGACCTGTTTTTATGGCTTAGTTTTCATGGTCGGGGTGGTCTGGCGAGGGAGATTTGCTTGGTGAATGTTGAAGTATGCTTACATCATACTCTTATTTCAAAAGGGCAAGAAAAATCCCGTTGGTCATAATATGGTCACTTCAGTTCTTTTGGTTGGGGTGTAGAAATTATGTGAAGTTATTTGAGAGCTGACGACTTTCAGTATATAACATCTTTTATTGCAATTTGTTGGCTCAAAGACATGGAAGACTGCACTACTTGAATAAAGGCTAGTAAATGACAGAATTGGGAGAATGATTTCTTTGAACTCGACTGAGATGGGTGTAAATGTAAGACATTTCCAGAAAAGGGAAAACAAATTACTCACAGGGCAGCCGTCCACCTCATAAACAACATCAAAAATCTGCTTCTGTCCCTCGGTTTTCCTTTTATCTTCATTTATGTGGCTGTGAAAATTAAGAGAAAGAGACAAAGAAATCTTTGTATAAACGTCACAATTTTAGCACTAAAAAGCTCATTTTCGGCCGAATATTTTTGGTTGCATCATTAGTTTATTTTAAGGAAAATTTGAAATCACAGAACTTACGTCATCACTTCCTTGAGAGACTCGATGGCCTTTTCCAGGGTCACTTTATCAGGGTTGTCATCTGACGTGTGTTTTTTTATATCTATAAAGAACAAAATTCACTGTAATCATGTTTTCTTTTATCAGCATACAGAGGTAAAGTATAACAAACCTGCTATTTTTTATTTTTTCATTTAATGGAAAAACATCCATTTTTAAAACTGAATTGAACAAACTCCAAAGTATCTTTTTAAACTATTTAAATCCTCTGGATTCAGACAGATTTACTGAATAGAAACAGCTCCAAGCTCGGGCTAACAGCTATATTTATGTGAATTACCATTCAACAGGAGGGCAACACTCGGCAGTCTCTGCACAGGACGAATCAAAAGCTCAACGAGAGTCTGACGACCACACTCAGGTTTAGCCTGATTAATCTGGATAACAAAATAAGAGAAAAGATGTGAATAAACAGCATTCACAAAAAATGCCCATACAAACCCACTCAAATATAGAGCAGAGGTTCAACAGGTTTAGACTTTTTTTTTTTATGTTAGCTCTCAAAAAAAAAATATCGGAGAAAAGAAAACATGCACCCTGAGTTCAAACATCTGTTAATTCAGCTATTTCTGGCCAATATATCAGTTTCTATATAAAACTGAAGTCTTCATACCCACTAAAAAGAGAATGACGGTACCTTCAGGAACGCATGAAACCTCGGCTTCTGTCTCTCACATCTGACTATAGTCTCTTTGCTCATCTCAAAGAAGTTGACAAACGGTGGGTAGGCCTTCACCAGCTCTCTAGACTGAGAGAGAATTTTAAAAAATAAAGAGAGATCACAAAAGCTGCCATTCAGTCTTTGACGGTGTTGTGAGATTCACGCTAACATATTCTGTTACACCAAATACACAAAATAATGATCTTTAAAAAAAGCATCATATGACCCCTTTAATAAAAAATAACCAAAACAGTATTAGTGAATTTTTAATTTGATCCATTTTAATTTGGATATACTTTAAAATGTAATTTATTCCTGTGATAGAAAAAAAATTTAATTTATCCAATCAAAGCAACCATTTATCCAATATTTAGTGTGATGCATCCTTAAAATCATTCTAATATGATTCCAATTATTATCCTTTAAGAAACTTAAAAGAAAAATGTAACAATATTTATTTGAATTTTATATGTATATACACACATACATACACCGCTGCATCTCGAAAAATTAGAAAATCGTGAAAAAAGTTTTTTTGTTTTTTTTTTACATTTCAAAAAGTGAAACATTCATATATTCTAGATTCATTACAAGTAAAACACTTGAAACATTTTTTTATTTTATTTTGATGATTAGAGCTTACAGCTCATGAAAGTCAAAAATCCAGTAGCTCAAAATATTAGAATATTTACATTTGAGTTTCATTAAAGGGGTCATATGATGCGATTTCATTTTTTCCTTTCTCTTTGGAGTGTTACAAGCTCCTGGTGCATAAAGAAGTGCTGTAAAGTTGCAAAGACTAAAGTCTCAAATCCAAAGAGATATTCTTTATAAAAGTTAAAAGTCAGCCACACCTACCTAAAACGGCTTGTTCGAACACGCCCCCACATATCTACCTCACTATGTGGGAAGATTTGCATAACGCCGCCCAAATGTTCACACAAAGAAAGAAGGCGTAACTTTTATTCTCGCTGTAGTATTGTTGCCGCTGCCGCCATGTCCTGAAGACGTTGTATGCTTCGTTGTGAAAGCGAAACTACTTTGTTTGGTCTTCCAAAAGAGGACGATATCCGCTTCATCATGCCTGGAGCTTATCCGTGCTGGTCGCTGAGGAAATACTTCAACTTAGTGCTGTGGATCACCGGCACATTTTATGGAGGACTGTTTACTGATCCTGGGAGAGTAACGTTAGACTAAAATGCCGGCAGTTCTGACTCACGTAAGTACGTTTTCTTTTATCA